TCAAAGAATACGTATAACGAACACACAGAACCATTTCAATAACCCAATAGGCAAAAAAGTTCTTTGCAGCTTATTAACATTGCATTTTCTCAAACTAACAAATGTAAACAAACCCATTTAACATAAATCTTATACAGAAAAACCATTCAAAAACGCATAAATTACGAAACCCAGAAAGAAAATAAAAGAGGACAGAGAGAAGGGACTGGGCATACCTTTTCAAGGTTGTTTATGGTTGCATTTGGGTAAAAAATAAATCTAAAGATGTTTTCTTGGGAGGGGTTTCAGAGAGAAAGAGACCGCGTTTATATTTTGATAATTACTATTGTATTGGTATGTTTATGGAGTATATATTTTGAGTATTTATAATTCTTAATATTATTGTAAATAAATTTTATTTTAAAAAAAAGTAAAATTAATAATTATTCTCTTTATTTTAAAATATAAAATATAAGTCGTTTAAAGTTATTGTACAATAATTAAGAAAATGATTAATTTTTTTAGATTATAACAAGCTCAAAAGTAATTTAATTAAATTATTATTTATCTCAAAATCAATAATTATTTGTAAAAATATTTATTGTAAAAATATTAATTTTTTTAAATTATAATAAACTCAAAAGTAATTTAATTAAATTATCATTTATCTTAAAATCAATAATTATTTGTAAAAATATTTATTGTAACTAATATCAAAAAAAGATAATATTGAAAAATATTATTTGGAGGTCTAAAAAAAAGATATATATTGTTGAAAAAATATTTTTATATGCTCTCTTAAAAAAACTTAAAAAATAACCTCTATATTTTTAAATAAATAATTATTTTAAATTTGTAAAAATATTTATTGTAACTAATATCAAAAAAAGATAATATTGAAAAATATTATTTATTTCTCTTTAAAATACTTAAAAATAACTTATATTTTTAAATAAAATAATTATTAAAAAAAACTTATATTTTAAAACCGAGATAGCAATAAATAATAAAGCATTGTTAGATGTAAAAATATACTAGTATTTACTATTTATATACAAAATATTTATTTTCTTTAAATTTTTGGTTCTGTTTTCAGTTTTATTCAGTTTCTGTCTATGTTGACGTGGATGGGATATATTTTTTAGCTTCAAGTGGATAAGCTAGATTGTCTTTATCACATCATTACTAGAATGCCCTCCACCTAACTCTACCTAATTGATGAGTACTATTACCAACTCGAGAGTATTTTGGTCATTTCCTAAGTTATAGCCTCTGTTGCATTCCAGTTGAAGGCTGAGATTCTCCATGTGTGTTATTTTTGTATTTTTCCCTTGTTAAAATTAGGGTTAATTTAATTATAAATTTAGTGTATTAACTCATCAAAATTTTCTGGTTTAGTATGTCAAGAGACAATATTTATAATTAAGTATTTAAATTTTTAAAAAAAATTTAATTAAGTGCCTCCAATTTATGAGTAAGCCCGAATTAGAAATGGGATAAAAAAATATTATGCCACGGTTAAAAATTTGCTAACATGAAAAAAATTTATCGATACGTCAACCGATGATTTGCCAAGTTGAGTGAAAAAAATTAAATTTAATCAAAAACACATGTGTATTGCTTCCGTAAATAAAATAAAATTGATAAATTAAAATTTTGATCAATCTAGACTGATTATTTTTATTTTTATTTTTAATTGATGCAAATGGGCAACCATATGATTTTACTTTCCCACAAAGAAGAGATAATGATATAAAAAATTATTGGATATCCATTTGAAAAAGAAGCTGAAAAAGCTTCATGGTGGTCAAAATCATGGATGATTCTCATCTTCTCTACAACAAAAAAAAAAAAAAAAAAGTATGAGTATGGGGGCTTCTCGGGATCTCTCTCTAAACCATAAAAAAAAAAATAAAAAAAGGGAAGACAATGGAAAAGAAGCTTCAAATCATATTTGTTTGGGCAAAACAAGCCAACTTTGCAATGCTTTTCTCTTGACAAACCAAGCTCTTTTGGCTTGGTAATTGATTCAAAGCCTTTTATTCGCTGTTTGCTGCTATTTTTGCTCCTCCTCTTTTTTATCAAGAATATTTTATTTTTTTAAAATATTAAGTGGTAGTTATATTCTACATTTGTCTGCCTATCTAAAAATAGATAGAAATACCTTTCATTATTATGTACAATTTTTATCCTTGAATTTTAAATTCAGGCAGATTGTGTATGATTGGATTCACTATTACATAAAGGTCTGAAAAAAAAAAAAAAAAAAAGGAAGACAATGGAAAAGAAGGCTTCAAATACATATTTGTTTGGCAAAACAAGCACTTTGCAATGCTTTATCTCTTGACAAACCAAGCTCTTTTGCTTGTATTGATTCAAAGCCTTTTATTCATGTTGCTGCTATTGCTCCTCCTCCTTTTTTTTCGAATTTTTATTTTTAAAATTTTTATTATTATTACATTGTTATCTAAAAATAGATAGAAATACCTTTTTTTATTTACAATTTTATCCTTAATTACAATTGGGTGTTATTACTACATAAGGTTGAAATTTATATAAAATTGACAAAAATATAAAAATAGAGTAAATTGCAAAAAATCAAGTTTAGGGTATTTTGATATATTAGGTCAATTAACCAAGCAACAAACAATTTTTTTTAAGGTAAAAAAATTGTTCAGAATAGAAACAGTCAAAATATATTTTCAAACAAATTAAAATTTCTTGTTAATCTTAAATTCTTTGATTAAAAATATATTTCTTATAATTAAGTGCTTGATTCGAAGGGGTTTGGAATGTATTTTCTAATATTGTGATATCTTTTTTTTTTTTAGTTTCTTAATTATTCTTGAAAGATTATAGTTCGAAAATTTTAGAAATCTAGCATTCATCAAATTATAATCCGTTAAGCTTTAAACTTTAAATATTAAAGTATTATTTATCAAAAGAGTTCAATTCTCACTTTAAACATAACTTAATGATGAACTTAATTATAAACTGAATTGAGACGGTCTATTAGAATTTTTTTTATTTTAAGAGTTTATAAGTTTCAAAGTTTTGATAAAATTTAACATACCAGAAGAATTGAATGTTATCCAAAAAAAAAAAATTCCAAACGTTAGTCCGTCCGTCTCAATTAAATAGCAACATTTTATTTTCTTTCACAAAAATTAATAATAAAATGATTGAAACACGTTAATTTTTTAAAAAATACATAATAAATATATAAATTATCGTTTTTAAAATTAAAAATTAATTAAATTAATTTTACTACAAAATCAATGCTAATTTTATCTCTTATTAAAACATCGTCATTAGAGTCATACTTCCATTTTTAGTCCGTCGGATTTTTATGGTTTTGCTGTATTTTTTGGTTTTTGTTCTTCCCTTCGAAGCATTCTCAAAGTAACCACTTTTCTCTACCGCCCCACCTTTCTTATTATTTTTGCGATCTCTTCTCTTTCAAGTCCACTATTCTTATTTCTGTATACTTCTATGCTCACCCCAACAAAGGAAGGAGGTCAATCTTGTATTCAATGGTATCCTAATTTTAAATTAAAGAAAAGGAGGTAGCCGAACATAAATGTGAATTGAGTTCGTAGGTTGACTTATTATTTGAAAGCTTAAAAAATGGACGAAATAGATATTAGGTGTAACATACATAAAAGATGAGCGTCTGACAATATATTTTGAAAAACACCAGAGTAAATTAGTTATTTTCCACAAAACATAGGGGTATTTTTGTAACGCCTCATTTTTCTGTGTCTGAAATAGTAAGTTATCGGTCGTGAAACTGGTGACTACTCAGTTACTTCTAATTATAAATTTTAGTTTTATGATTTATATGTTAAGTTAAGACGGTGTCTCCGGTACCAAATGTGGCATCCGCCGTCGGGTCTCTAGGGACTGGGCGGCGGGTGTTACAATTTTCCCTGAATGAAAAGAAAACTTGAATTCCAACGAAGGATCTAATTGCTTTTCTTTTTCTTTTCTTTTTTTAATTTTTTATTTCTTTTCACATAAGACCGAAGCAGCTCATTTCCTTTGTCCTTATTTTATTAACCTACATTTCAAAATAATTTAATTAATATTTATAATTTGCATTGGCAAAATACAGAAAGGAAAACAAAAGGCACGCAGAGTTTGAAAGAAAAAGCAAATCAAAGAGCTAAAAAAAAACCACATTAACTAGCAATTGCAGAACAGTACGTTGAGCTTAAACAAAATAAAACAAACCAAAAGCTAGCTAAAATAACTTTAAGACAAAGAAATTAGTGTCACCCAATACATAAAAGGCTTCAAAAAAGCATCAGTCACGTGCAATACTGCTTGTTTGGCCAGTGAATTTCTACATTTCAAAATAATTTTTACATACATATGTTATTAATCCTCTTGCATTGGCAAATAACAGAAAGGAAAACAAAAGGCAAACGGCAGAGTTTGGAACCGAAAAAAGCAAATCAAAGAGCTAAAAAAACACATTAACTAGCAATTGCAGAGGGGATCAGCCTTATTCGGTTGACCGCTTAAATCACCATAAAATAAAACAAAACCTTAAAGCTTAGTATTAAACAGGGATAACTTTTAAGACTAAAGAAATTAGTGGCCACACCCAAAAATGCGATAAAGAAGGCGTTCACAATAAAAAAGCGAGTCAATGTCGACGTGCAAATATCTTTGCTTGGGGTTTGGCCAAGTGAAATTACCTTTCATCCATTCTTCTTAATGTGGGTATAATGACACCAAGAACTGAACAGAGAAAATAAAAAAGTATCAGAAATTTCAATTAGAATTCAAGAACAATTATTCTATCACGAATTCTAATTTCGTTACAAAAAAAAAAAAAAAAAAAAAGCTTTCATATATTCCTTCAGACGGCGTGTTTAAAGTTTAAAACCGAGTTCTTAATGAAATAGGTAATAATACAAAATTACACACTACATATATCCAAGTAGCAAAATGAAACTACATACAAATAACATAGTTAGAAAATATTTAAGCATCTATTCACCATGGTCAATAAATAGTTAGAAAATATTAGCACATATACATTCATACCTGACATAAAGATCACAGACTAGATATCCTTGGATTCGGAGAAGCAAACGCCAAGAACTCAGGATTACGTTGAAGAATCTCCATTCTTTCATGATCTAAAGTAATCCAAGCTTCAATCCCTTTACCACCCTTTGCATCAACAAAAACAGTAAAGTTTCTAAATGCAGCTCCTGCTTTTCCCATAACGCCAACCCAATAAGGCTCTCCCCACCCAAAATCTGGCTTTGTAAATGACATATTACACCAGCTTGTAAAGGCAAAAATATCAGGTTTTTCTGAAGAAAACAACTTACTTAATTGCTCACAGTACTCTGACATAGTCTCATACCCATTATCGCCTTGTAAACTATGTGTATACTCAGTTTTATATACCCCAATAGATTCACTTAATAAACTTGCGAGTTCATGTAACTCTGTATTTTTTTTATCATTAGGATCTGCAACTGCTACTGCCCACCAAAATAAGTTTCCAATGGACCCATTATCACTTAATAAACTTGCGAGTTCATGTAACTCTGTATTTTTTTTATCATTAGGATCTGCAACTGCTACTGCCCACCAAAATAAGTTTCCAATGGACCCATTATGCATTGGTGGCTTTGTTTTCTTCCGTAGATCTACTGCTTCAACTAAAATCGATGTTCTAGATTCACTTCCTCTACTTGATTCCACCATTGATGATGCTTGCATATAATATTTCCAAATGAAACATGAAAGCGTTTCAATTCGGGTTGGTTGATCTACATTATTTTTTCTGTCGCCTTTTGCCATAGTTTTTAGAGTAGCTATGGCTTTAGGATTAAAAGAAAATCTTTTTGTAATGTAATTAGCTTCGGTGAACCATAAACTCTCCATTAGAGATAAATGGCCTTGAGGAAATGAAATTCGTGAAGGGAAAAATAGTGATGGTTCGTGGAGATATGGCGCTATAACGCCGTTAAAATCCCGACGATGTAAAGAAGTCCAAGTAGACATGAAAGCAGAAGCTGTTACGGCATCTATTAGCTTATGTGACATGCTCAAACCCAATGTTATTCCACCGCAAGTGAACATGCTTACTTGGAAGGCTATTATGGGTATTTCAATGGATACTTCCTTGGTAAAGGGGTTGCATGGAAGAAAACTGTTTAATAACTCCGTTTGATGGAGCTTGAGAAACTCAGACATGGAACAATTCCCGTTTGGAATGGAGCTTGAGAAACTCAAAGACATGGAACAATTCACTTTAGCTTCAAAGAATGGAACCCTTCGGGTTGTGAATACGATATTGATTCCATATGAGAGTTATACACAAGGTTGCATGGAACTCCTTCGTTGAAACGATTGATATAGAGGTTATCACAAGTTGGTCTTCCAGAAAAAGGGTAGTACAGATTTAGGGTTTGAGATAGAGATTCTTTTAAGTGGGTTAAGGTTTGAAGAGTAGTAGATATATTATTCATGGGGTAGAACAAAATCAGTGGAGAATATGTTGTAGGAGTAAGTTGGTCTAAAAGGGTGAGTTTATAGGGTCTTTTGTGTTGAACTGTTGGGGAAGATGGCTTTATCAACTCTCTTGAAATGATTTGAACTTCCATCTCTCTTAGCTACTAGATTTGCAGTATCTTGGAGAAAACTTGTAGTGCCCTTAGTATTTTAGCAGTTTGTTAAGGTCTTGGAGAAAACTTGTAGTGCCATCTTTTTACATGAGTTGAACAGTATCTAATAGTATAGGAGCAGAATGTTGGCAAGTCGTAATTGCACTAGACATCCTTTTCATTATATTTTATTGGTTATGGTTTTTTTTGAAGGTATAAAATAAGAAATTTAAACCTTAGAAAATTCATTTTTTTTTTTTTTTTTTTTTTGAGAATAAGTTAAATTAGAAAATTCATTAAAAGGAAACTGTGTATACAGATATGAAATACAAATTAGCATGTTTTTATATTTTTGTATAGAAAGTCTAATAATAAACCTATTATATAAAGAATAAAAAAACGCAATATTGATTTGAAATATCTAATTAAGTTGACAAAAGATAATATTTGTGGCATAGGCAATCGTTTGCTCCACTTGGTGATTATTCATTGTCATTATTCGATTTTATAGTCTTTTTACAAGTTCGATATGATTAACTTCAAATTTCTTCTTTTACCAGAGATGAGATTTATACTTCTTTCTGCATAACTATCCAAATAACAAAAGACGCTAGACAAAATTACCATAATGGTGATAATAATAACTAAGACAAAATTCCAAGATATGGACAATAATAAATCTCAATATTTGAATGAAAATAAGTCAGATCTGTATACAGATCTGAAGATTATTTGTAAAAAAAATAAACAAAAAGAAGAGGGGTGACCGCCGGTTAGAGCTCATATTATATATTATTATGCGATAATATCACATTATACAGATCTATATACAGTGCTCACTTTTCCCAAAATATTATAATTTAAAATAAACAAAAAATATATATCTCACTTATGTATATATGACATTTTTAATAAAATAAAGAATGTCAACCACTTTCCTTGAGTTCAACTTTATTGGAATGGGCCGAGACAAGTGTGTAGGTTAATTGAATGAGAAGTAATTTTGGTTGGTATGAGTTTCTATCAATGCATTAATCAAATATTATATTGAATTTGGATAGACATAATGGTATGAGAAGTAATTTTTCCATTTTTTCTAAAACTCTTTATTGTTATTAAGAATAATTTAATAATTTTACCTCAATCAAGAAATTAGCTATATTTTTTTAATAAAGAAATAAGCTAAAATAATTTAGCTTGATATAGTAAGAAATTCCTGCGAAATCAACTTCATTGTAAACATTGATTAGTTTAGAGTTTTAATGGATAAAATAAAATTAAGGCATTGATACATGAACTCCTTTTTTTAAAAAAAAATTAGAATATAATTATTATTATTATGGTTTGATTTAAAATTACGGCATTGCCTTATTATTATTATTATTATTATTATGAGATATAATTATTATTATTATGGTTTTGGATTTAAAATTACGGCAATTGCCTGTTATTATTATTATTCATTATTAGTATTATTATTATTAAGATTAATTATTATATATTATTATTATTATTATGTAATTGTTATTATTATTATTATTGTTATTATTGTTGTTACCTGGGTTAAGAGATTATTAAATAGAGTCGCTCATAGTTTAGCTCGCGAAGTCTATTCATATGTTGGTTTTCATATCTGGTTTGAGCTACCTTCAAACATTGAAATTTTAGTTGTTTTCCATTTAAGTTTGATGAATGAATGAGATTTTATCTCCCTTTCAAAAAAAATAATTATTATTATGGTTTGATTTTAATATAAATTTTGAAATAATTATAAAATCTAAAACAAAGCTACTATCAATTTATTTGACTCATAAACTTTTAGAAACTGCAACATTTTTTTTAGAGAACTGCAACAAACAAAGCTACTATCAATTTATTTGACTCATAAACTTTTAGAAACTGCAACATTTTTTTATCAAAATAGAATGTAAGTTATAATTATATTCTAATTTAAAAAAACATTCATGTATCAAGAAATTAATTTTTAAATATTATTTCTTATCAATTAAAAACATAATTTAAAAATATTAAAAATAATAATAGAGAGTGTCTTTACTATAACTCAAACTCCTTAACTCATACAAATGTATTAAGTTAATATTTATGAGGAACCTATTTTTTTCAATTAATTTTTTTTGTTTTTGTCTATGTGCTATCAAATATGATAAGGTTTTTACCTACGGGTTGTGAGTTGGCAACGCAGGCTGGGCATATGAGAAGAGCTTTCAGATTTGATCCCACTAAACACACCTGCAAAGGGGATAAAGAACCTTAACTGTGACTAAACCTTGAGCCAAATTAGGCAATCTTTGATAATAGGTTCTGGATACCGGTAGTTTATAAAAAAAAAATGATAAAGTTTTTCATTTATTATTTTTAAATTTGTTAGTACTTGCATGCTCAACTTAATTCGTAATATGAAAAATTCTTTGATATTAATAAGTATGATTTTGCTTGAATAATTTCTAAATCAGTTCTTCATGTATAATAAAAAATTGATAATTTTTAAAATCAGTTCTTCATATATATTTAAATATTATTCTCAAAATAATATATGAACTTTCTAAATGAATAAATATTAAAAAATAAATAAATAAATTGTCACGAAAAGGTTTATATATTTACCACAACTCTCATGGCAAAATTATGGAATTAGAGAAAAATGTTAGTTGCGGTGGTTCTTTCAAGTAGTTGTCTTAAAGGTAAGAAGTTAGATAGAAAGAATTAGACAAATCAAAGTTTTCAACGACATTGATAGAACACAGAAAGAAGCACGCGCGCACATGCATATTTAGGGATTCTGATGTACAGTTAATACTTAACAATAATCACCATTTATATGAAACCCATCAGAAGAACCCTCCAGGCTACAGCTTACCACCGCCAGTGCAATTCTATAAAGAAAATTATTAATTTTTTTTTCATTTCTTAAAATTTTTATTTAATATATAAACTAAACTTTTATTTATTATGAATGGAAATTTCTTTAATACAACTATTATTTATTTTGTTGTTATATGATATTATTTGACATTATATTTCTTGGTATTGTGGTTACGATGACTGAATGGAAATTTCTTTAATACAACTATTATTTATTTTGTTGTTATATGATATTATTTGACATTATATTTCTTGGTATTGTGGTTACGATGACTATAAATAATATTTTTTCAAAACCTATTTCTTAAACTGATGCAAAAATGAAACCATTTACAAATTTAACGTTTGTATTTTTTATGGAGAGATAATGTCATACTAAAACTACAATGCTAACAGAGGGTTTGAGTGCAAGACAAAGAACTATCCATTTCGTAATAAATAGTGAAAAGTATGTAAAAGAATAAATAATATTTTTTATTTTGTGAATAATCCATCAATAGAGTAATTGTCTCAATACAAAAAAAAAAAATATTTAAAATATTAAATGGTTTTTTAACACACACAGTTTATTTGGTAGTTTTGATATAAATATATATGATATATAATAACAGTCAGTAAATTAAATAGTAGCAATAGAATAAATGATGTTAACTATTTTTGGTAAGAATATTTCAGATTAAATAATGGTTTCATTAAAAAAAAATGTTTGAATAATTAAATTGTTTTTATAATTAATAATTTAGTGTGGGTTTTTATGCAAATATAATAACATTAATTCTGCGAATCAATATAACTTATCGAACAACAAGTATTTCACGTCTTTTTCACCTTTATAGTTATTTTAATATTTAAATAAATAGAAATTTAGCAAATATGCACGGATGGTGACAAACATAACTTACATCATTTAGCAAAACTCATAATAAAATAACGTTACAAAGAAAATGCTTTAAAAAAATCACAAGCTTCATTTAATAACATTGTTCAATCATTTTTTTTCAGTTTTCTCAAAAAAAAAAAAAAAAAAATCTTTAAAAGTTAAACAAACTATGTAGTCCACTTATTCATATAGGGAAATTTCAATTCAGTAAATGAAATAAAGACATCTACTTAACTGCCCTTTTCTCGAACTTTATTGGGAATGCTGAAAGAGCAGAGGTGTAAGAAAATTGAATGAAAGTAGTTTTGGTTGGTATAAGTTTTCCAATTCATGTATTATTATGAAGTACATTAAATATTTTCTCAAAAAAAAAAAAGAATACATTAAATATTAAATTGGATTAATAGTTGGCAGCTGATTCTACCTAATGCATGTATTATTATGACGTACAGTTTTCCAATTCTAAAAAAAAAAAAATATTACTAAAATTGTATAAGAAAAAAAAAAAGAAAAGCATAAAATAACCATGTATTGATAAATAAAAACTTTTAATATTTATGTGGTTTTTTTAATGAATTTAAAGGAGAAACTTTAAATATTTATTATTTGTAAGGCAATAGCTAAAGAAAATAAATACATAATATTGTTTATCTTAAGCTCTGTTTATTTTTGTAAAATAAATTATAGGAAAATATTTTTTATATTTTTTCATTGTTAATAAGTTAGCAATTAAGGAACATGATATACCCTTGTCTACATGGGAAAACATTTTCCTAACTTATTTCATAATTCAAAACTAGTCTCTTTGATCCACCAAAGAAATACTTCACCTCATGAAGAGGTATAATTATGGGCTTGCAGTCTCTTTGAAAGTGTCAAATATGCCAAGTAGCTTTTTTTTTTTTTGAAGAAATGTTTAAAATAATTTATTGATAGGTCCGTACCATTTAAAATGTATTTTACATGATACTTTTTGCAACATGAGTATTGCAAAATAATCATTGAATTATTTTGACAATATATTTTTTAAAATATATTAAAGCTCATACATCTTAAAATATATATTTTAGCAATATATTTTAAAGTAATTATAATACTTATATATTGTTAAATTATCTTAACATGATATACATTATACTGTTAAATAATTTAATCAAAAAAAAAAACAGTTTAGAAACAATAATATAAGATGATGAGTAGTCTTATTTATAATTCTATGTTTCTTGTTTTCTAAAATTTTGAAATTTATCTCTAATTTGTTCGAACATTTAATTTGGTGGTTTACTTCATCAGTTAAAAGAAGAATACTGTAGTTTTTTATTGTTTTGTTTGATTAGTTTTATTTTTCCCAATTTCATTACCATTTTATACTTTGTTAACTTTGGTTTTATTGTATTTACTTTTGCAAGCATTGAAGTGTGTGCAATAAAAAATAATCCAAATCTATTTTATGCAATAATAAATTTAGTATTAAGTTCTAATATGTTTCTCAAATTATATACTCTCAATGTTAATTTCTTTATAAAAACAAAAATCAAGTACTTAAATCATTCTATAAGTCTACTTCAATTTCTAATAATATTTCTCGTCACTTCTTTCTGACAAATGAAATTTTACATTCTACTCAATATATTACCTTATATTTACATTTGATATTAAAAACATAAATATTATATAATCGCGTCTGCCAAGTGCGGGTTACTGCCGAGCGTATGATAGAAAAGAAACCTCCTTTAGAAAAAAAAAAAAAAAAAAAAAAAAAAAAAAAAAAAAGCGTATGATAGAAAAGAAACCCCTCCTTTAGAAAAAAAAAAAACAAAAAAAGGAAAAAAAAAAGAAAGAAGAAAAGGGGCGGAATTAATGTTCTTAAAGATTTTATTCCTTAATGCAATAGAAAAGATTATCAGGCACTAATGTACAAAAAAAAAAAAAAAAAAAAAAAAAAAAAGAAAAGAAAAGGGGCAATTAATGCTTAAGATTTTATTCCTTAATGCAGAAAGATATCAGGCACTAAGTACCATATATATAGCATAGTACTATTGTTACATACATAGTATTGATTAGCTTTAATTACTAATGAAGTAATAATAGTACTATTAAATTAGACTAATTAAAGCAAAATACATACTTAAATATTAATTCCACACATATAAATAGAAATGAACTCAGAGATTTGAAATCCTTGGATTTGGAGAAGCAAAAGCTAAAAACTCAGAATCACATTCCAATAAGGCCATTCTTTCATCATCTAAAGTAATCCAAGCTTCAATTCCTTTACCATCTCTCGTTTCGACAAACACAGTAAGGTTTCGAAACGCAGGACCAACTTTTCCTAAAACACCAAACCAATAAGGCTCACCCCATCCAAAATCAACCTTATTAAAACCGAAATAGCACCAACTTGTAAAAGCAAATATATCTGGTTTTTCCATTTCAAATAACCCTTGTAACTGGTCACAGTAATCCGACATCGTTTCAAACCCTTCAGTTCCTTGTAGGTTTTTCATATGATCACTATCATACGCACCAATAGCATCACTTACCATTTTCGCTAACTCATGCAACTCCTTATTCATATCAGATGGGTCTGCTACTGCATTTGCCCACCAAAATAGATCTCCAATCGACGCATTTGACATGGGAGGATTTGTTCTTGTTCTAAGATTCACTGCTTCTACTAAAATGGAGGGCCTTGGAGAACCAGAAACTGCCCTAGAAGCAGCCATACAACATTTCCATATAAAGCAAGAAAGTGCTTCAATGCGCGTAATTTTAACCTGTGGCTCTCCTCTTTTGGCCATAGATTTAAGCAAAGAAATCTTTTCATGATCGAAAACAAATCTTCGTGTAATATAGTTAGCTTCTGTGAACCATAAACTCTCCATTAACGACAAATGCTCTTCTGGAAATGGATTTTTTGGTGGAAAAAACAAAGATGGCTGAGTAAGTTCAGGTTTTATAATATCAGAATGATTTCCACGAGATAAAGCAGCCCAAGAATTGATAAAAGCACTAGAAGTTGGTCCATCGATAAGCTTATGAGATCCAACCATGCCTATAACTATCCCTCCACAAGGAAACACGTTAACTTGATATGCTGTTAATGGTAAACTCATATCAAGCTCAGTGAATGGCTTGTATGGAAGAAAAAGATTCAAAGATTCAATTTCTGGGTTCTTGAGGAAATCAGCTAATCTTCTAATCCCTTTTACTTTAGTAACCAAGAAAGGAACGCCTTCGTCGAAACTATGAATATAAAAGTTATCAACTATTCTTCCAGAAAAAGGGTAGTAGAGATTTAAAGATTCTGACAAAGACTTTTTAAGGTGGGTTAGGGTTTTTACGATATTGTCAGTAGTGGTGATCTCAACCGCGTTTGGGTAGAAGAAGATGACCGGAGCATAAGTTGAAGGGGTGAGTTGGTTGAAAAGAGGGAAATAATAGGGCTTTTGATGGTTTACAGTGGGTGAAGATGGTTTTACGATTTCTTTGGAAATGACGGTAACTTGTTCGATCTTTGCCATTTTTTGGAAAGCAAGAGAAATCTTTTTTAAGGGTTTTGTGTTTTGCAAATTTGAAAGGTGGAAAGGAGTTGTTCTTATAAGTTGTAAGAAGAATTTAAGAAAGGAGGATTGCCCATTATTGAGGTAGGTGGGAGGTACTAAGAGACTAAGAAATGAGGATTGATAAATAAGTGCATTAATGTTGCAGCTTGGGAGTTTGTTTGTTTATTTGTTTTCTAGAATCATGTGCTGCATCTGTAAACGCGCATGAAACTAAATTAAATGCAGATTTTATAAGACGACTCAAGGAGAACTAGACAGGTTGATACCACTTGTAGAGTTTTAGGAGAGGGAAAATTTCGATTCAATTCAAAATAATTTTACATAATGAGGGGTAAATTATCATCTTATAAGGACTATATTGAAACTTTATAATATAACTTTGACGTTACTTTGGTCCTGTTCCAGTGTTTTGACCAAATTAAAACTATATCTTTATCGATTGTAGTGTTTATTAACATATCTTTTATAACCGCTTTTAAAAGTTAATAATAGCTTTTAGAACCAAACTCTGACCAATCTAACAAATTGGAACACAAAGCATGGAGAACAATTTGTGAATCAGTGAATACACAGCCTGTCCCCAAGAATCGAGTCTCCAGCCATTGCAGACACGCCCTCAAAGCCATAGCCTCGGTCGGCAACTCCCATTCCTTGGAACTGACCTGCACAGCAGCCATAAATGAACCGTCACAATCCTCCACAGCTCTACCATAATCTGATATATACCGTAGCTAATAGATAACAACTAACAACCGTTGAAATAGTTAATATTGCGGAACATGTTGAGTATATAATATTTATCATAACCATCTTATCTGCTGAGTTGTACTAAGAGTCACATGTGAATTGTATTTTCTGTTGTAACAAATAGGAGCAGTTACTTAGATATTTTGGACTGTAGCATTATAGACAAGTTCAGTAGAAAACCAAATGCAAGTGAGAACCATTATCGCTTGATAATACATTGATCATCTTTTTCCCTCAAATCAAGATTGTTTTCTCTTCAGAACAGACCCTTTCTCTCACGATAAACTTTTTTTTCAATTAATTACAAAGTTTTGGGGGTAACAAAAGCTAAATGGAATTGTGGGATTGATTTGCCTATACCGGATCTAAAACCCCACTCATAAATCAACCTAATAAAAATAAAGATTTTTGTTAAATTCTGACTATACAGCGGAAAAAATAACTTTGGAACAATTTTTAAAAAATTCTTATTTTCATTAATTTAGTATATGGGTGGATCATAGATCCGGTCTAAGCAAGTATAATCCTAGAAATACAATCTTTAGTGTTTAATAACTCATCGGATTATATTTGCTTAGACCGAATTCATGATCCCACATATAGACTAAACGAATGAAAATAATATTCCTATTTTATCATTTTTGTTCTATGTATGGTGAGAAATATCCTCATTTTAATAAAAAAAATTATTTTTATTAATTCAATTTGTAGATGGATTATAGATCTGGTATAAATAAGTCAATCCTTAAATCACCACAAGTGAGATTGGCTAGTTTTGCAATTATTATTATTATTATTATTATTATTGGTTTCTGATTGTATGAGTGAGAAATATCGCTCATCCTTTAATAAAAAATTATTTTTATTAATCACCAGATTTGTAGATCGGATTATAGATGCTGGTATTAAATAAGTCAAATCCTTAATCACCCTGAACAGTGAGGGATTGGCTAGTTTTTTGCAAATTAATTATTTATTAATTATTATTATTATTGATTATTATATATTATTAGTTATTATTTGGAACAAAGAATTGGGGAGTAAAGTGGTTTCTAGTCCTGGAGAAATTTGAGTGCTAATGTAAATTGAATGAAAAAGTTATTTTTAATCAGATTAAGTACTTTATTGTTCTTGTGTTCTCTGCCTTTTATTTTACTTTTTTCATATTTTGCTTAGTTCATTTGCTGCTCTGTCTTTCTGACATGCACATTACTCACTGTTTTTTTTGGCTATGAGAAAATATTTTCTATATTTAGTAACTGCCTTATGCTTAGTTTTCGGAAATTGGGATTTTATTGCTAATTCGTGATGATTTACTCCTCTTTAAAGGTAAATAAAATTTTCTTATTTCTAAAAAAATAAATGGACTGTATTAAAATATTTTCTTCATATCGTTGACTTAAAAAAAATAAATTGAAAAGAAAAGGGACAAAAGTAGACCAGGCAGATAAGAAACAACCTAAGCTCAAGCAGCAAGTCAAAATGCCATAAAGAACGCATTTAATACAAATGAAGGAATATTAATATTTTTTTTCTATTAGAAATTATTATTATTATTATTATTATTTTGGACAAGAATTGGAGTAAAGTGTTCTATCTGGAGAAATTTGAGTGCTAATTAAATTGATGAAAAAAGTTATTTTTAATCAAATTAAGTATCTTTTATTGTTCCTTTTCTCTCTTTTATTTTATTTTTCATTTTGCTTATTCATTTTGCTGCCTCCTTCTTTCTGACATGCACATTACTCACTGTTTTTTGGCTATGAGAAAATATTTTCTATAATAGTAACGCTTATGCTAGTTTTCGGAATTGGGATTTTATTGCTAATCGTATGATTTACTCTCTTTAAAGTAATAAATTTTCTTTTATTTCTAAAAAAAATGGACTGTCATAAATATTTCATATCTTGACTTAAAAAAAAATAAATTGAAAAGAAAAGGGAAAAAGACAGGCAGAGAAACAACCTACTCATGCAGCAAGTCAAATCCATAAAGACGCATTTAATACAAATGAAGGATATTAATATTTTTTCTATTAGAAAAAAATTTTAACAAAATTTTAGTAATTAATTATTGCCTGGCATATGACTGGGCTTATACTAGAACAGTATTGTTCAACTTCAATTTATGCATTTGGGTCAGAGGAATAGGCATTTATGCAAGCACATGGGATGGAAGAAAATACATGCAATAGAACAATTTGAATTGAAGGCTCTATCATTAATGGGAAATAATAAATGATGAAACAGGAAATACATTGAATAATATAACGAGGTAGGTTTGAATATTTATTTATTTATACTAGTTCTATATCCAATTTCTCGTTGATTCGTTAGCAATCCATTACCAATTACTAACACATTTCATGCATGCTAAACTGTATTTTTTTTTTTTTTCTTACAGTAAATGATGATGCTCATGTTTTATTTTGCGATAATTTCTGACCAATTTTAATTTTTTCGTAAAAGAATGTTGAACAGTCAAACTAGTAAATAAATAAAAAAAAAAAAAACACAAATGCAATATAATAGCTTTGTTGCAGCGTAATACTTGTAATGCTTTGTTGCATAATACTTGTAATGTCTGAAATTTCACATCTTTGAAAAAATTATTAAATTTATTTAAATTTCAATTTAAATTTCAATAAATTATTGAATAAATTGACTATATTACTCTTAATTTAATATTACTTCTCTAAAAAAATCATTATAATAATTATTGATTATGTATATGGAAAAAAATATTTATTGCTCTTTAAAACCACATATAACCACATATGTAATAAATATTTTGAAACAAATTATTTTCTCAAATTTGACAAGTATTTTGAAACAAAATTATTTTCTCAATTGTGAAGTATTATTATGGAACAAAAATGGTACAATAATTAAGTTGTGGAAACTATAATTTTGCTCAAAATATTGATAACAGAAAATAAAAACAAGCATCAACCCAGGACAAAAACCAAATAAACAGAAGGGGAAAAACATACATGCCTCGACAAGTTTTTCCAAAGATCATCAAATCCCATTATATATATATATATATATATTAAGCAAAAAACCCAAAAACAGTTTCTCCTAATTATTTCTTACTCAACCCTTTTTAGTTTGGAGCTGATTTTAGGAAACTTGAGTTACCACTGCAGAGACCATCCTGTTCATTCCACACATGCCATGTCCCCTACAAACCCGATAGTATCCTTCCTCCCCCCATTGCGTACCCCAAGAGTTCTTGATGATCCAATACGGCTTGTTACTTAATCTAAGAATGGAGAACCCTTTAGCTCCATACCCAACAAGCAAAACTCCATGGTTGATCCATTTCTTGCCGCAAATAAGTGGACATGACACTCCTCCAATGTAAGTTTGCATAAAAATCGCATTCAATCCAACTGCATTCAACATTCAATACATTGGTTTTCACACAAAATTCCAGTTCATTTTCAAACATTCATATGGTCTCGAGCAAGAACTCACCTGCCAAAGGTCCATAGTGAACTAAATGAGCTGCAATTTGATCCTCATTAATAGCGATATTGGTGAAATTAGCAACTCTGACTGCTATTTTCTCCTTATCAAACTTGCATTCACCGCGTTTTCCTGTATATGGATATGAACTCTCTTCTTCTAACCCTCCTGCCTCCATCAAATATCTATAAGCATTCGTCATAAGACCTCCCCCGCAACCACTATCGCATGCAGTCTTGTCCACCATGTCACACTTAACAATAACGAGTGAAAATTAAGGAAGAAAATATTTCAAGAATTTGATTCAATAACTTAGAAATTGATTTCATGTTTATAGTCAATTATAGAAATACAGTGAAATGAAAAAACCAACCTTATTATCGCAGTCCACCAATTGTTGCTCACTAAGATTAAGAAGCTTCCCTGTTGCTATAAAATTAGCTCCTTCAATCGCTCCAGTGGTACTAAAAGCCCAGCATGATCCACATGCACCCTGCAAATATTACCATGCATCAAGAAATCATTCGGTCACAGACTCAACTATCTTTTATGATTTTATCTTATTGTGAGAACTATTTCTCTTCTATGCAAATAAATTTCTTGAAAACAAAAGCACCGACGATATCAAACAAGAGAAGCACTAAAATTAAGCTTGAAATTTTGATTTTGATAAGCTTGATTTGACCTCGAGCCTGCATATCAAGCTCGGTCCTTGAACTTGACTCGTTGACCCGCAAGCTGACTCGCAAGCTAACTTGATAGAACTCGAGCTCCCCAAGCTCGAGTTCGTAAGCGAGTCAAGCGTAAATAAACGAGTACAAACTCAAGCTCTGCTCTTTTTAGACGAGCTGAACTCAAAGCTCGGCTTTCAAGCTCAAATTAATTACCTACCTGCATCTTCACATCAGTAACAGCACCTTTCTTCCTCCAATCAAAGTTCTCAGGCAATCCTCTAGTCTCCAAGAACGACGTCGTTACATCCTCCACGAATCCCACCCGTCCACCACCAACAACACCAGTATACATCTTCTCAAACTCCTCCTCCGTCAAATCCATAAACGGCGTCACTCCATGTATAGCCGTGGGGTCCAGCACCTGATGCTCGACGGCTCTGATCATATTCTTGGCGAAGACTCCAAGGCGGTGCATGTACTCCTCTCTGCTGCCATACTCTTTATTATATTTCTTCATGAAAATCTTGAAATTCTCTTCAGTACCCAAAAGACCACCATCTTTTAAGAACTTTCGGTTCGGATTGTCTGTGACTTGGAGTATATTTGGGTCTTGTAGGGCGGCGTCACCACCGAAGGATGCGGTGGTTGTTGCAGAGACTACTTGTAGTGTAAAGGTGAGGATTGTTAGAGTTATTAATGTGCAAGTTAGAGCTGGGCTTTCTTGAATAATCATCTCCTTCGGTTTCTTGATTCTGGTACCAGAATCAGTAGTTTTTGGGCTCTGGTTTGAGAAATGAGAACTTGGTGACATTACACACAATTAGTTTTGATTTGGTTATGTATGATTACTTTTTTGTCCTCAAATTGGAGAAGTGAAATTAATCATTAATTTATTGGACTTGGAGCTTAAAAAACATCTAATTGGATTTCTTTCACCGAACATAGGTATTTGTTATCCTCCGGCCCATTTTTTTCGTATGAACTTTACTAAATAAGTACATTTAAAATTTAATTAATATAAATTATTTTATCTTTTTTTACTCTTTAATTCATTTAGATATTAATAAAAGTGTTCATTCAATGGAATGATGATATAAAGATTATTATAGAAAAAATAATTATTTATTATATATAAATTTAAAAAATTGTGCAAATAATTGTTTCTTCAAAAATTTTTAAATAATTTACTTTCTGCAATTTGGTTATAACTTTAAAAATTAATTAAAAAATATTATTCTCTCTCTTCCATTTTAATAGTAATAAATAGATATTATCTTGTTCCACTTTAAATATTCATTTAGGATTTTAAAACTGTATTAATTATTATTTTTCGATCTTACCCATATTTATTAGATGTAATTTATTTTTATATTTATATTAAAGAAGGATAATTTAGACATTGTGCTAAATTTTTTTAGAAAATGAATGAATTTCAATTATTTTCTTAATTCTTGTGAAAAGAATAAATATTGATATTAGAATGAAACGGAGAGAGTAATTTTTTTGATTATACAACTATAAAAATATCTAAAATATTTATTATTAAATATAAAATACATAAAATGAAAAGTTCTCATACTCTTTGGTGATTAATGGTAGTTTTTTTTTTTTACAATAATAGTAGTTAGTTAGTGGTAGTAATTAACAATCAGTATTGATTAGCGGTAGTATTAATCATTCAAGGATTAATAAATATGTATATTTATACAATTACAATCAGTTTATTAAATCTAAAAAATTCTTTAAAAATTGGTATTTTTCTATTAAAAAGTTTAATTTCTATTTATTTAAAAAATATTTTTTATAATTTTCCTAAGTAACCACAATATCAAAAAATACAAGTTTTTTTTAAAGCAAATGCAAGCTTAATGACCATAATTCTTTTTTTTTTCTTTTGGGGACAAAAGAAAACTTATTTTTAGCATCTCTGTCAATTAAGTCAAGAATTCTCTTAAAAATGCATTAAGATGTGGAGAACCAAATTTAAGGGGTATTGTTGTAAAGTTAAGAAAAGAGTATGATGCATGCAGATCTCTACCGGAAGAAGAACACGTGGGTCGCATAGCTTGCTACGTGCATGTCTCGAGCGGTGTGCGTCATCCTTGCTATTTGCCAGACGTCGCTTTGCAACGGAGAAACAACCGTTCGCTTCGCCACTTGCTAGTTTTTCTAATGGGTACGTTTGAAATCGATTTGACTGGTGTAAACGCATGTGTTTCAAAAGCGAGATTGTATTGGACAAACAAGTTTATAGCCCAAGATTGTGTTGGACATTAATTAGGACGAGGCCCAAGCTCTGTGGGCAAATTATTCATTTCGGATTGAAGCGAAAAAGTTCATAGTTAAAACTAAAAAGAATTCGAATGCGTTATATATATGCATTATCATTAAATTAAGTTTAAAAGAATACTTTTTAAATATTACTCTCTCCATTTCATAATTTATACTTTAGTTTCACGTAATTTAATTAATATTAACTCTGTTCCATAATATTTATCACATTTAAAATTTCATATTTTTTAAGAAAACTATTAAATTTGTGTAAGTTATAATAAATTATTGAGTAAATTCATTATATTATCTTTAGTTTAGTACTAATTCTCTAATAAAACTATTAAATTGAAGTAATAATTTTTCAGCGTAATTTAATTAATAATTTTAAACTCTTGTTCATAATATTATCAAGCATTTAAAATTTCTATATTTTTTAAGAAAAGTATTAAATTTGTGTAAGGTATAATAATTATTGAGTTAAATCATTAATATAGTTATAATAAATTATTGAGTAAATTCATTATATTATCTTTAGTTTAGTACTAATTCTCTAATAAAACTATTAAATTGAAGTAATAATTATTGGTCATATATAAAGGGCAAACATGGAAAAAAAATATTTATTACTCCTTGAAACCACAAATGTGATAAATATTTTGGAACAAGTTATTTTCTCAAATGTGACAAGAATTATGAAACGGAGGTAGTATATTTAAAGTTTAAATTATAATTTTTTTTCATTTTTTCCTAATATACCCTTATGTTAGTATCCATAAAAGTTAAATGATTCATATTAAATTGTTCTTGAAATCAATCAAACATTTGAGTAAATAGAGTTTTATTGGAAGATTAAATATTGATATGTCAATTTGGTTTATATCAAAATTTAATTAATAAAAATGTAGTAGTTTGAATATTACATGTTGACAAAGAAATATATTAAATAAAAATAAAATACCAATAAACTTCACAATAAATTTACGGAGGATGAAAAAAAAAAGTAGGACAAAAATTATGGGACCAAAGAATAATATAAATGAGATTGAAAAACAAAAAAGAGAAATTAATTTACCATTTTGATTTTCCTGTATTGACCGCTCCTTATAGTGCAATTGGATAGCTAAAGTCAATTCCTTGGAAATTATAAACAAAGCTTGCAAGTCTTGTAATTTCTCTCTTAATTTAACTTATAGCAATATAACATAAGTTGGTTGACTGAGATAACTCAAAATTGGTCTCTTATTTAGTCAAGGTTTTACAAAATTTGATTATTACAATCTCAATTTCACCATCAACTTTAAGACAAAGACACGGTAAGGCATAACTTTGTTTGGTGATAAAAAGCAGGGAAAAATTTATCTAGATCCGGTTCATATCTCCACTTATGAATCAATTCAATAAAATTCAGTATTTTTATTAAAACGATAGTATTTTTGACTATACGCTTGGAAAAAAAATAATAGAATTGGAATACTTTTTAAAAATCCTTAATTTCATTGGATTAGTCTATAGATAGAGATATAGACAGAGTTTATACAAGTTTTTTCCCATAAAGTAATTAACTTTTCAGAATTGACAATATATGCGCTTTCCTTTCCGTTTCAAACAAGCAACAGAAACAAGTTAGGATTATGTGACTATCAAGTAGGTTTTTTCTTATTGATTGAGTTACTTAGAAAAGGTTAAGTTTGTCTCCTAGCATACAAACTAAGTGCAGGGCAGAGCTACGTAAGGGCTTGGAGAACCATGAATTTCATTTATATTTTTAAAAATATATATTGATCGCTCAATTATAGGCAGTATATTGGTTTTATGAACCGAAATTGTCAGTTTCTAACCATTTTGAAAAGGAGTCGGGACTAGCCAAGTCAAAATTTATCTCATTCTAATTTTAATTTCAATCGGTTTTGATTTCAATGTTTCAGACTAGTTTTGAATCTTTCTTGTTTTTTTTTTTTTTTTTTTTGAATCTTTCTTGTTTTTTATCTTTTTTTTTTTTTTTTTTTTTTTAGCTAAAATGTTTGAGAACTGATCGATTCTGATTAAAATGATCACTACCAACCTTACTTTTTTGAAATTATTTTAGTTTTGAATCACCGAATGGCTATGGTTAAAGGTATAAGCTGATTCGGTTCACGTAAAAAAAATTTAACTTGAATCGAACTTGAATTCAAGCTTAATGACATTTAGCTTGAATTCGTTGAGTTTTATCGAACTTTTATATATACATTTATATAATATTTATTTTAAATTTATTTTAGCATCGAGCTTTGAAAAGTACAGCTGAGCTCGAGTTTAAAATTTTTCGAGTGAACTCGAACTTCAAAATGAGTTCGATTTTAAAATTTTTAGTCTTGTCGAGTTTCGAGTCGAACTTCAAACCTGACAAGTTCGAGCTCAGCACATTTATGTTTGTAGCTTTACGTACTTAATTAGGGGCGGAGCTAAACTTTAGAATTTATAGAGGTCAAAATAAATTTTTCAAAAGTTAAGAGGATCAAAATGAAAAAAATAAATTTTTTATACTTATTTACAAGGTAAATTTTAAAAGGCACCTGTGCCTAATTCTGCTTCTAATGCAATTGTGATAATGGATTAGAAATTTATGTACTAGATGCTTCACTATACACAGCAGTGCGCGTGACCAAGCGGTATAATATTGACTTAACAAATAAAAAATAAAAAATACGATAATAAACTAGAGAAACTTAGATTAAAAAAATAAAAAAAGAATCCACGTGGTCAAAACTTAACGGATAAGAAAAGTGAATGGCGATGGCCGGTAGGTGATCCAACGCGCACCAAATAAATCGCGATACAATATTAAATAGCGTCTTCCAAGTTATACGGAAGCGAGAATATGACGATATTTTGGACTGAAATGTCAATGTTTTTTATTGCATTGTTTATAACGAAAGGCCCGCACTCCGGTGGACATTGCCTACTTCTTTACGCCATGGTCGGTTGTTATCAACGTTGTTTCCAATCGGACCGGACGTGAAACTGATATAATGATTGGGTTGGGATTATACCGACTCGGTTCTTATTTTTTTACTATTTTATATCTATTCCTGAAAAATAGAAAAATATTCTCACAAATAAAATATAATAAAAAACAATAATATAATTAGGATTTAGAAGTGTATAATTATTTTTAAAAACCATTCATAGGTAAATATCAATTTACAACTATTAACTTTTGTCGGCCGACATTATTTAATCCTTGAATTTTGACAAAAAAATTTTATAGCTCCCTAAACTATAAAATTGATTTTGTCGCATCATAAACTTCATTTTTTATAATAATTTTATACTTTCTTACACTAAAAATAGTAAATTTTAAAAATTTTTGGCTTTTATATGCAAAATATTGATTTGATATGTTGTTAATACAACTTTTGAAACAATAATTTTACATTTTTTAATTTTTCAATAAGTATTTAATCGATCTAATTTTTTAAGTTGAGGTGTCCAATGGATCAAATAAAGTTTTTAATAGATACAATTTTATAAATCGAAGTGTTTAATGAGTTGAAACAAAAGTTGAGGGTGCCATAAAATTTTTTTGTGAAAAGTAAGCATTGAATTTACGTATTCGGCAATTTTTATTTTATTCATCATCCAAATCAAATATATTCCAAATCAAATATATATATATATATATATATAATATATATATAATATATATATATATATATATATATATATAACGATATATATAACGAGAATGAAATATTATATATTCACCATAATGATAAACATATCAAAATATAAATTATAATGATCTTAAATGTGATAATAATTTTTAAATTATTTATCATTAACATAAATATAAAATAATTTGTGTACTATAATGTATTTTGATAGACAAATCTCCGATTAATTCCTATCTTTAAAATCAGGAACGATTAAAACTGATTGGAACTAACTAGTTTTAGGGCCATTCCACTATCTTCAGCAAAAGAAAAAAAAAAGGTATTGAAATTTGTCGGAACCAAAATGCTGAAATCAACTGAATTAAAATTTTCCCAAAGTAAGACTCTATTGTTGATTTTGATAAGTCCTCTTTTTCTCCCAAAATCTAAGATTCTATAAGCTTTTTTTTTCTTCACTGGCGGCCACCGTTGGTCACTCATTCTCTTGTTTGTTTGTTTTTTTTTTTTTTATAAATTATCTTTATATCTGTTTACAGATTTGAGTTATTATCATCTAAATATTGAAATTTATGATTGCCCGTATATTGAAATTTTGTTCTCAGATTTAGTTCTGAGTTATTGCTATCACCATTGTGGTGATTTTGATTAATGTATTTTGTTATTTGGATAGTTATGCAAAATGAAGTACAGCTCTCATTTTCAATAGAATAAAGAAATTTGAAGGTAATCAGTCAGACTTGTAAAAAGATCATGGAGTCGAATAGTGGCCATGAATAGCCACCAAGTGGAGCAAGCAATCTTCTGTGGCACAGATATTATGTTCTGTCAACTCAATCAGACACTTCAAATCAAAATTGTGTTCTTTTTTTCTTTGTACAAGCGATTTATTATTAGACTTATTATATAAAAATATAAAAACATATTTTTATATATCCCATTTATATACACAGTTACCTTTTAATGAAATTTTAATTTGATTTATTCTAAAAAAAAGTTTCCCAAAGTCAATCAAGTCCAGCCGGTTTCAAATTCGTGTCAGTAAAACCTAGGGACCTTAATAAAATACTCCCTCTATTCCAAAATATAAGTCGTTTAAAGTTTTTACACATATATTAAGAAAGCAATTAATTATCCAAATTACAACAAGACCAAGAACTACTATTTATATCAAAACCAATTGGAACTTATGAACGTAGTTAGTTTATCTAATAATGGAGACATTGGAAAAACATCTTTTATTACTCATTGAAATACTCAAAAAGATCTATATTTTAGAACAAAATAAACATCTAAAAACGACTTATATTTTGGGACGAAGAGAGTAGTAAGATTATACTATATTATAAGTATTTAATAAATTTTTTAATTAATAGTTGATAATTGATAGAAGTCTTAATTAACTGCTAATTCCGTGAACTATGTATCAAAGCATTTTCAACTTATAACTCTAAACATTTATATTATATTTAGACTTCATTAACCTCATAAAAAATTAATAATTTTTTAATTATAATTTTTTTAGTCATTTTATTTCTAATTATTTAAAAATAATATAAAAATTATTTAAAAATAATAATTTTTAATTAAATATTATTTAAATTTTAATTAATATTTTTATTTATGAAATAAATTAAAAATATATATATACTACATGAAAATTAGTATATATATATTTATTTATTTATTTAAATATCATCATAATTAAATTTTTAGAGACATTGATATCTATTAACTAAGAGTCACCAACAGTATGAATAATTAAATTAAACCGGCCCTTATTTATCGCCTAAAACGCTTAAAGATGGGCCAATTGTTAGTGCCACGTATTAAGCTCACGTAAACCTGGCCTGACTTCATACTCCACTCTGCAAACGTACGAGATATCTCACTGTCCGAGTGTTTCACCATAAAAGCGAAAAGGACGCGAGAAACTGAAATCCCATCAAAAGAACGAGAAAAATGGTTAATTATAAAAAACTCGCTAAATTTACCAAAATTCACATTTTAGTCCCTACTATTTCAAAAGTAATCATTTTAGTTTCTAATTCCAATGTCTTATTCATTAATTATAGAATCATGAATTTGTTCATTACACTTTAATTTTATCATTTTATTTAGATATTTGATTCCTAAAACCTCAAAATTTAATTATGCTGTACCATTTGAATCATCATATCACCAAATAATACAATCAGTGACGTAGTCAAAAATTTAATAAAGGGGTCCAACTAAAATTATATTTCATAAAAGTCACATACATCAAATAAATATAAGTAACAAAAATCTATTGCAATTACAAAATAATTAGGTATAATTAAATTGAAATAATCTTCACCTATTTTTCATTGATTGAAATCAATTCATAATAATTTCGTTGTTAATATTTGTAAATACATATCTTTCATCGTAAGTCCAACAAATAATCATTTAGTAGCTCATTGCTCATTTTATTATTTTCATTGTAGAAAAAGCTCTTTCCATTGTGATTGTAATAGCTGGCAAAATTAATGACAATTTGACTAATAAATACATTAAAGAAAATGATATGTTTTCTTATAGCAACCATTTTCTTATATCATATATACAATTATTATTAGATTATGCTTTAGTGTACTTGAATTTCTCTATTTAATTATAAAAAATTAATAAAAGATATTTTAGCCAATAATTATAATTATTTTCTAAAATTGAGATGGTTAAATTATTTTTTAAATTCTTATGAAATGTCAACAATGTGGAATTTAACAAAATGGAAGTAATATTATTAATCAAACTAAATTATTTAACTTTACTTCTTTTTCATGATGAGAAAATAATAAACTGATCCCAAAGTTGTTGTAGACACATTAACATATGAAAATTTTTATTTTCAAAAATTAACTATGAAGTTCCTAACTTATAACTACGTTAACACATTAGTACTTTGGTTCAAAATAACATATTTTAATGATTAATGGATTGAAAAATTGGTCTCTAAATTATACTCAAATTAATTATAAGTTCCCTAACTTATAATTTTCATCGACATTTTGATTATTCTTTTATAATTTTTCATTAACATTTGCTCCTTTTTTTAGACGGAAAAATAAATGTTAATAAAATCATATTTTAAGAATTTAAAATTAATGTTTAGAAATAGAGTATTTCATGTATCAATTTCACTTTTACTCAGAAACAATTTATGATTTTCCCTTTCATGCTATAAACTGAGTAGGTATTAAAGTAAAGCTTCCCAAACGTAAGTGTTTAAATTGAAAATAATAGTTTCATAGGGTCCGAAGTGTTGATAAAGAAATTCAAGTGGTCTTTTTGTAATTAACCCAAGAGACAACAAATTCAAAGTTGAGGTTAAAGCTAAAAAGCCAGTCAGCCAGAGTGCAGGTGCAAGAGAGACAGAGAGTCAATCTCATATTTCCTAGGATCCAGTTTTTCCATTTGGTGGGTTTGATTATTGATCGCTCGTTTATTTTTATTTTGACGGAATCCCCAATCCATTAGCACTACTAAACAACAGCAGAAACACCAACGCCACCACCAACTAAGAGGGAGAAACAATGAGAAAAAGAAGTCAATACACAGAAACAAGGATAACCCATATTGTTAATTTCCAGTATACTTGAAGATATAGAAAGGAAAGAGAGAAAGAAAGAATAGAGTTTTTGGGTGAAGGGTAAATGGGAGTATTGTACGAGGATTTGGTGGTGATTAGTGAAGCAGAGAAGCCAGGTGATTCTACTCTGATCACTGTCAATTGCCCTGACAAAACTGGGCTTGGCTGTGATTTGTGCAGGATTATCTTGCTTTTTGGCCTCAGCATTTCTAGAGGAGGTAAGATTTATTTTCCTTTGGCTTGGTATCGCTTTTTTTTTTTTTTTTTTTTTTTTTTTTTTTTTTTTTTTTTTTTTTTTTTTTTTTTTTTTTTTTTTTTTGTTTTATTCATTTAGTGGGTCTGGATTTTTAATGTTACTGATGGATGAATTTTTGGGTTTTTGTCTAACTTTTTTTTTTTTTTTTTTTTTTTTTTTTTTTTTTGTTTTATTTCATTTAGGTGGGGTCTGGATTTTTATGTTACAGTGATGGATGATTTTTTGGGTTTTTGTCTAACGGCAATTTTTATTTTTAGTGTGAGGATCTGTGATTTCTGAGACAACAAAAAATGAGTTGTTTTTGATTTTGTGAATTTTCCTGTGATTGTAGTGATAAATTTGGGATTTTGATCTAAAATTAGTAGGTAAAAAAGAAAAGGGGTAATAACATAATTATTTTTTCAATCTTTTCCTCATCCCTATCTAGGTAGAGTACTGGTTAGCTCACGAGTCGATTTGTAACTTGTGAAAGATAACGTCTTTTGTTGGTTATCATGGTGATTGATGAAGATTTTTAGTTATCTTGAATTAGCCTATAAAGATAGGTTCTGTATGCTGCCTTATTTAAGAGTATGATATATAATATTTGCTTGTGCATTTTTTTAAAGTTTCTTTTCTTCATTGAGACAATGAAACGCAAGGTTGGTGATTGATTTGTTATTTGAGAAGGAAAGAAACGAAAGAAAGAAAGAAGGAAATCAGATAGCTAATTTTGGCTTTGACACCATAAAGAAATTAAGTGTAGAAAGAAATAGTTGGGAAAAGCTTGGATCCGCTGGTAATGAAGAGCCGTTCTATTTATAATGTGTTATTAATAAGTTGTATCACCACTCATTTTATATAGATTAAATCTGAACTGAATATGATACGTACAGGTAACCCTACATAATTGTCTTGTATCATATAGAATATATCACTTTATTATACATGATTATCTTTTATCTAATAGTGTTAAAATTTATGTGATGAAGATTTGCAGACGGATGGGAAATGGTGCTACATATTGCTTTGGGTGGTGGGGAAACCAAACACTAGGTGGAATCTGTTGAAGAAAAGGCTATTGGAGGTGTGCCCATCATATTTTTCAACATCTGAAATTTCCTACTATAGGCCTCAGAACCAGGAGCCAAGGAAGCCAGATGTGTTCCTCTTGAAGTTCTGGTGTTCTTATGACCGAGAAGGCCTTTTACATGGTAATTCAAAACAATAACTTTGTTACTGGTGTTATTACTATTGTTGTTATTGTAGTTATCAGTAGTGTTATGTTGATGGATAAATAATAGCAAGGAAAGGAAATGCTTCCTGTATATTACTAGGAATGCAAGACTAATGATCTTCACAAAGAAAAATACAAATGGTTAGGAGTGAAAATTCTTGTGACTGAAAAGTGAAGAGGAAGAGTTTGTAAATTTTCTTTATAAATCTCAGTGATGTTTCCTCTTTTTTCAATCCCTTAAACTTCTCCTTCTTGGTATAACTCGCCAAATGGCTAAAGGGATGGCCTTAGTTTACATTGTAGACATAGTACAAACCATTGTTGCAGTTTTGCAGAATTGGTTGATGGTGGAATTTATGCAAATTAAATTTCTGGTTTGCTTTGCTGTATCTATGCCATATCTCTTTGAAAAAGTTTGTTAGCATATAGAATTGGCATGCTGAATGCACTATGTAAGAAAAGTATGTTTTTGTCCACTGAGATTTAAAATCTATATATTAAGTGACTATTTAAATCAGTGAGATTTGAGACAAACTTATGCTATTTTTATAGCATAATTTATCTTGAAAAAGGAAATAAAATAAATTGAGATCATAAATTACCTCATTGAGAAGATTTTTCTCAATTGAAAAATTCAAAGACACAGACACTACTATCTCAATTCACTGTAAAAGAAATATTAACTGTTTGGTATGGATTTTTATAATTGTTTTTTTATTTCCAGTAATTTTTTTTTTGAACTTTTTCCCTGTGTCTGCCCCTTTCAAATGAATACTGTTATCCCCTGATTTTCTTTCTTTTCAGTATTTATGTGCGATAGCCGAGTCTGATAGAATATCAGACGGTCTTTCAATTAGTTTCTGATAATTAAAATTTGTTTTCCTTTTAGATGTAACCGAGGTTCTCTGTGAGCTAGAGCTAACCATAAAGAGAGTGAAGGTGTCCACTGCCCCAGATGGGAGAGTGATGGACCTCTTTTACATTACAGATACTAGGTTTGTCATTCTTGGAAACTTTATCTTCAACATTGATGCTACATTACTGTCTTCATTATTCTGCTTCTAATGTTATAATGTATGCTCATAGCTTTTCATGATACTTCATTTGATTTTTAGGGCATTTTATAATAGTCGAACATAATGAATAACAGGTTGAGAATTTGGAATTTAAAAAGTTGATTTATAATACCTATCGCATGGGCAAATTTCAGATTCACTTCCTCTGTTGTCATTTAGAAGCAATAGAAGACATGTGCTTTGCATGTGACGTGTTAAATGATGTTTAAGATGTGGAAGAGTAGAAAGTATGATGGATTACCGTCAGTAATGGATATATATGTATTAGGTTTACTTCCTATTAAGATAGAATAATTACAAAATTATGGCAGCACGTTCTGAAAAGGAAAACACTGGCTGACTCTTTTGACCAATTTTGTAGTTAGGTTTTTGTTTATTCTTTTTGACCAGTGATATCTGGTTAGTTTTAAGTGAGGTGCAATCACCTGATCTGAATACAATGTCTGAACATTTATAAATTTAGTAATGTGTTTGGTACTTAATTTTCAGGTATTTTATGGTGGAATGACTTCAAAATTACTGTTATTTGTGATTATATATAAATTCTCAATAACTTCCACTGAAGGACTTCGTTTTTCCTCGTCCCATTTGACAGTGAACTAGAAAAGTTGCAGGCATTGCCATATTGGTTTCTTTTCTACTTGGTGTAGGATAACGAAATGGTGGATAAGCATCCAATTGAATATGGTGCATGCTCCAGATACATCATTTGTCCTTTTTTCCCCCTTAATATTGTGTTTTAATGTGCTTACTTAAAAATGTCTTTCCTGGCTACTTGATATTGATCTACCTATACTCGGGGATTTATGGCCTTTACGCACTTGCTTTCAAGCTCAATGTCATATTAAATGTCAACTTTTTTCTGTTTTAACTTGCAATGATAGTGGCAACCGAATTTGTCATTTATTTCAGATCAGTTACTTTAGATCCGTATGCTTGGTAACTGAAACACGGGGAATTTTGTGCTTCCTTTCTTGTGAAAGATTTTAAAGAGACTTGGTTATGTGATTCGTTGACACTTTAAATAATTTCTTTGGAAATCGGATAGATACTTTCTTCCATGTCATGCTTTTTTTTTTCACTGTATAGAAACTATATCTACTTCTAACTTGCATTTGATCTTTTGTCAAATGTATTAATCTATTAGTCTTGATAGGTCTGCCTATTCATTCTGTACTTGTTATCTGCCCAAACAATGAATCTATATTGCAAAATCTGTAAGCTCTCGTTCTATAGGTGATATCTGATGTCTAGTAACAAATTACAGTCTTGCCAGATGGAATACTCTGCTTCATTTCCAATATACCTTTCAGTTATAGTACCAAAACTTGCAAGTCACGTTTAATCTTTAATCAAAGTAGATGCCTGATTCATAGTACCTTGTTCATTATTTCTTCATCATTTGTATCCTTAGTTCAATTTATGGTAAATGTTTCAAAATTTTTTAACTTTTGAAAGTCGTATCGGTATCGAGAAATTGCTTTGGGAGCAGAGAAAAATACCTGCATTTTATTTCACGAGAGGTGCATTTCTGCTGTTCTGTTTCTGTAGGAAAAGAGAGCCTGATGTTGCTTTTTTTGGTGTGGTTAATTAATATAATTGCACCTTCTGTCATTAGGGAACTTCTTCATACACAACATCGGCAGCAGGAAACAATTCTTTATTTGAAAGATGTTTTAGGGGATGCCTTGATAAGCTGTGATATTGAATCAGCTGGTGCAGAAGTTACTGCATGTTCTCAGGGCTTGTCTTATCTTGCTTCTGCAATCACAGAAGACATGTTCAGTTTGGAATTGCTTGGCCAACAACGAAATGGATTTCTCACCTCCAACCCCATATCTGTTACAATAGACAACAACTTGAGCCCCTCTCACACTCTTATTCAGTTTCACTGCAAGGATCATAAAGGCCTTTTGTATGATATTATGAGAACCCTGAAGGATTATAATATCCAGGTAAGTTATTTAAACCAGAAACTACTTTTATCAAGCACCTGGAGTTTGACTTATTAGCCAGAAACCAATAAGACTTGAGTCGCGGAAGTTTTGATGATTAAAGAAAGTCAAAATATATTCACCAGAAAATGGTCTTTTACTCCCAAGTAGTGATGATTTCACTTAATATATTATCTTTTTCTTTTGGTTAATTTGGCTCTAACTAGAGTTCAAACTCGAGATCTTACAGCCATGGGGATGACCTGTAAATATCTTTTATTTCCAAAAAATTGCATGATCGAACAATTGCAAAATTGATTTGCCACGAGCAGTTACTTCAAATAGTCTATGTGGGTTGTTATGGGACATAGTGTAGAAGTTCTGCAAGATGGTTGTGAGCTTGATCAACCAATAAAAGCTCTATAGATGTTCTCTCTTTCTGATTACTTTTCACTTGCCACTCATTATATCAGATCTCTTATGGACGATTTTATGCAAGCCCAAAAGGGAACTGCGAAGTGGACTTGTTCATAATGCAAGCGGATGGCAAGAAGATAGTTGACCCCAATAAACAAGACGCATTATGCTGTCGTTTGAAAATGGAGCTTTTGCGCCCTCTTAGAGTTGCTGTGGTTAGCCGCGGTCCTGATACAGAACTAATTGTTACCAACCCTGTTGAATTGTCTGGGAGGGGAAGGCCTCTTGTCTTTTATGACATTACCCTGGCTCTCAAGGTCCTAAACACCGCCATTTTCTCGGTATAACTCTTATTCCATTTCTTATTTTCCCTTTTTTTTTTTTTTGTGACTACATGATTGCTTTCTGTGATTATAATGCTTGTAATTTTCATTTGAGTTTCCTCAGGTGGAGATTGGAAGGCATATGATTCGCGATAGAGAGTGGGAAGTGTACAGAATACTCCTTGATGAAGGGGATGGATTTACAGTGCCCAGAAACAAGATTGAAGAGGGTGTTAGAAAAGTACTAATGGGTTGGGATTAGATTGTATTATTAAAAGTCTTCACTAACATTGTACAGCATGTATTCTTAGCTTTCGTGTGTGAATATTGCAGCCAGGCACTAACCACGTACAGAATGTAAATTATGACATGCTTTAAAATAGAATGCTCCCTCCGTATAAATGAACTCAAAATATGAAATTCATTTATAAATGAATTCTATATAGGATTCATTTCTAATTGAATTTTTCATGTCAGAATAAATTTAAAAATTGAAAATTTATTTACTTTTACTCTTAAAATACCCATAGCATAATAATTTTAAAAGGCTAAGGATGCTCATCATTGGATCTCGCCAATACAGCTCCTTATAGTTTTCGTTACCGATAATTTTTTTTTTTTCTCATTGTAAACGGTCAAAATTTAGAAGTAGCTTTTTCAAATAGCTGTGCTTGTTTTAGTTAGTTTTGAGGCTACTTTCGTTAAAGTAGGACAATTCCCACCATAAAAAGAAAGTGTGAGAAGCCCATAACGCATATTAGCAATGCAAGAATGGCAAGGAAATTTGGTAACTTAAAGCAAGGTTAGCATGCTCGCTCAATTTTAACATTTCAAGAAACGCATGGCAGTAAAGACTCAACTACGTCAAGTAGTTGAAAAATTAACTACTAAAAGCTTTTCTCAAACACATGGCAACCAACTTCCAGAATATTAGTCTCATGCAAATAGATCTAAAACAACATTAATCTCATACTCCGAAACAAGATTATTCATACAAGTAAAGCTAAGGGATCCTAAAGAAAAACACACTAAAAAGCTATCAATATGTTCTTGACATATACTCAAAATAAAGCAGTGAAGAAAAAAAAAAATCAAACGAAAAGAGGTAACAGAGAAAGAATAGGAGAGAGCAATCGACATGTTGTTCTTCACTTGTAGGAAATCCACTTCTGTTCGACCCAATCTTGATGAGGCCTCAAAAGAGAAACATGGTACTCTATATGGTCACAAGTAGTAGGAAAGTAGACAGAAAAATATGACCCTCGTTTTCCAGTAATCCTGCCAAACCACCATCCATCGTTAGCAAAAACATCAACCAACTCATTCACCGAAAACCCAGACTCGTTGGATAATGGCGGAGGGAGAGGCCGGATTTCGTTTTGCGGGACATTCTCTACCAGAGGCTCGGTTTCGTTCTCCTCCAGCAGGTTCTTGTACTCAACTTTATAGAAGACTTCGTTCCCGTTGATGTAAAGAGGGTTGAGGATAGTTGCTTCGTAGAAGGAGCCAGCGAACCCTTCTTCTTTGCTGCATACTTCTACTTTCTGGTTTTTAAGGAATCTCATTGTTGAAACAGAAAAACAAAGAAGAGTTTTTGTTGGTTTCATGAATTGCCGTGTCTACATTATATATAGTAGTAGCTTGTTTGATCCTCTTACGAATTGCATTTGGAATTGAAGGAGAAGAAATAGTTTTTTTTTTTATTATTATTATTTTTTATTTTCATATCTCCAAGTTCCGATAGGATTAGGTTTTGTGTCTGTTTCCTTGTCTTTTCCTTCCAATTCTAGTAAACGACTCGTTTCACTTCTGATTCCGTTGTCGTTTCGTTTGATTACAATACAAGGCATGCTTGCGCAAGTGGTCAACTCAATTGTTTAGCAAATCTTGGCTTTTAAGTTTTAACGTTTTGCAGCCTGAACCCTCTTCAATCCGTTTGGATGGATTTAGTGTTAAATCGACCAATCATGGGTAGGATCGGGTTTAGGAGGTTCGAGCGGTTTGGTTATGAATTGTTTCGAACCATAAAACCGAATAATTGAAGTCTGTATTTTTCTATAATTGATTTAAACCGTTTTGGAATAAAAACTGGACCAAACCGATTGCATTTTTTGGTTCAATCTGGTTCAATTATCAGAATATCCAAACTCTTTTTTTCATCTTAATATTGACCAAAAATTGAAAATCTAAGTTAAAATTAAAAGGATAGTTGCTGCAAATGACACTGAATGCCTTCAGTTAGGTTCAATTAATCATTTTTTTTTCTAAATCGAACCAAATTGAAAAACTAAAATTTTCTTCAAATTAAAAAAAAAATGTATCGAAACCGAAGACTGAAAAATCAAATTACATCGGTTCAGTGCAGTTTTTTCAATTTTTTTCCAAAGTTTACTCATCCTAAATTTAGGTTCAAACAAAGTATTTATAGATATCCAAACAGTTTTAAAAAATTGAAATGATATTTTAAGCGGAAAAATGATTTTTTTTTTTTTTTTTATATTGAAGAAGGAAGTATTCGAACCTGAATCTATTGACAGATCGTTAAGTTGAACTATTTATAAAAATTACTAATACTATTCATAAAAATTATTACTTTAACATAGTATATATATTTTTTATATATCTATTTATAGTTAATAATTATTATATTTATTAAATATTTACTACAATATACTTATTTACCATAATTTTTTATATGAGTATGATTTTATATATATATTTAACAATACTTGTTTTTTTATGACGTGCACTGCACGTTGATTTTACTCATTAGATACCCGTTTAATTTTTTATTTATATAATACTAAAGTATAAATTATTATTTAGATTAAAATCTACAATATACTTATTTACGCATAATTTTTATATGAGTATGATTTTATATATATATTTAACAATACTTGTTTTTTTTAACTGCAGTGCACTGCCGTTGATTTTACCTCCATTAGATACCCGTTTAATTTTTATTTATATAATACTAAAGTATATTTAGATTAAAATAAATATAATAGTTAAGTTGAAATTTTGTTAATAGTATGTAATATTTTGAACTCCACGTATTTTTCATAAAATCTAAAATAAATTGCTTAAAGTTCTCAGCCCCATATAGGGTTGAATGTGCAAATAACAATATTGATACTGAAAGATCATTTCTCAAGTTTATAGATGTATATAAATGAGATTAAATTTAAAAATTTCAAAGTCTTATATATTTATTTAAAAAATATATTTGAAAAATTTAAAATCTCAAAACTATAATTATCTTTATATCTATTTTAAAATTTATTTAAAAAAATATATCCAATTATATTGAATATAATATAATATATTTTATTATATATATAATATATTTTATTATATATATTATAAAATATTTAAAAAAAAAAGTGAGCTCTTGAATTTTTCTTTATTTCATCTTTAATATATAAAAGTTGAATATAAAAATAATAGCAAATATGCCTAAAAAGCGGTTTTTTTATTAATTCAAACTTTTGTTCAAAAAAAGATTTCATTAAACCAAAATCGGAAAAACTTTCTTATTTGATACATTAGTCAAATACTATATTCCATAATTCTTTTTTTTTTTTGTTAAATTAGAATTATAAAATGTTTAAAATATAATAATGTGTAAATAATCCAAATAAGTGCAAATCAAAGAGAAAGAATATATTTAAAAATTTTTATTTCAATTTCATTGTATTTAACTAATAGACTCTAATAGTAAATTATTCAATCATATTTTAAAAAAATTCAGAATATAATAAATTAAAAGAATTTAAGTTCGAGTTTCAATACTTGAATTAATATTTTCAATTTACCTCATAGAAAATAATATCACGTAAAAACCTATAATTAAGAACATCAAAATATATTATTATAGTATAGATTACAGATATATTATAGATTATAATAGATATTATAAACTTGTTTTGCATATTGTCTATTTTCGTCGTAGATACTCATAGTTTAATTTTCTAAATTATCCATTATTTTTATATGTTAATTTTCTATCTAATTGGATTAATTTAATTATTTATAATTGTCGTAAATACTCGTGATTAAGCTAAAATTTATTTATTTTAATATATATATTTTATTGACGCAATACCAAACTACCAAAAATATTAAGATTTCTAATTAAATTATTATTCCTAATTGGTTAATATTCCTGATTTAGGAACATAATAAAAATTTATTTATTATTTTTTAAAACTTCAAGTAAAATATATAGAATTAAAATTTCAAAACTGCTCAAAAAAACTAATCATAATAAATGTATCATATATTAACTATATCAATTTACTTATATTAATTGCTTAGTTTTTTTTTTAGTCTTCGGTAATATAGAAAATTATCATAATAATTTATTACTAGCAGAAGCAAAAATATCTCTAAGACAGATGATGCTTCTAATGAAATCCAATACCCAAGACCTACCCATAAATACAAAGAAGAATATGACTCCATATCAAGAACATACATCAATTATAGAGAATGATGATTCAACTCATGAAATGGAAAATTAATTAATAGAATACTCAATCAGAAAATTTGGATTGGACGAGGTATCTAAATCCGTTAATCCAGAGCGGGGAAGTAAGTATCAACATGATCATCCTGGCGTCGAGCTATTTTTCCGCAGGACCTTCCCTACAGTATCTTCACCGCAGTTTAACCACCAAGTTCGGGATGGATTGGTGTGGTTTTGGACGAGGTATTAAATCGTTACATCTCTCAAGCGGGGAAGTAAGTACAACATGATCATCTGGCGTCGAGCTAGTTTTTCCGCAAGGACCTTCCCTACAGTATCTTCACCGCAGTTTTAACCACCAAGTCTCGGGATGGATTGGTGTGGTTTCTCTCTACGCCTAGGACCTATAGTTGGGTCTCGAGTTTCGTTATCGACGACATGTCGTCCCCAAGCCAAGAAGCCTCCACATGTTAACTGCTTGGGGCCATCACCTAAGAAGAATCAATGTTCCAATATAATTTTTATTGTTATTTTTATTCATTTTTAGTTTTAAATTTGTAAATAATTACTAATTTTGTAATCAATTAATAAAATTTAAAGTCTGTATAATATTTTTGGCGAACTTAATATTTTTCTCAATTCAGACAAAGCGTAGGTCCATCACCTGATAAATTCCTATCAGATAATCTTGTAAATATTAAACAGCAACTATGGTTTTTTTTTTTTTTTTTTAAAAGATATGGAAACAACCTTATGGTTAATGTAGCTAAAATTTCATTGCAACTGGAAAATTTAGAATGTTTAGCTTTCATTAATTTTTTTTCTTAAATTGCGAGCTTCTCGAGAAATAATCTAACTTCAGAAAAAAATATTGATTATTAATATTAGTGAACTTATATTTTTAATCAATCATACAGCTAATAAAGTTAAAAATTTTTTCAATTAAAATTTTTAAAGAAAATTTTTTGAAAATGTTTATTATCTATATTTATTTATTTTAAATGAATAATTTTACAATTATATCCAATTAACTAATACATGTAGTTTTTTAAGATTGCCAATCCATTAATAAGCATTTTTAGACATGTTTAAATTTCATGAAAAGATGAATTTCCGGAAAATCCTATTATTTACCTTATTCTCAGCATTTATTATATATTACCTTTCAAAAGAAGTACAATTGTCAAAAGTTTAGCGGCTGAGCCGTTTTAATTATATATATTAAGAGTCATTGGGTAAATTCCAACCTTTATCATTTTATTAATCAATTGATGGTAATGGCTCATACTTGCCAAATTAAGTTTCAGTAAATTATATTTTTTGTCCTGTACACTTGTTAGATATTTTAATAAATGCTGTATGTGGCACCCCATTGTGGATTAAAAAGGGCTGGTTCTAATTAAGGTGGCCCAATGATCGGGTTATTGGGCTTTAATGGAGTAATGAGAGCCAGTTAGGGAATTTTAATACCCTTGGCCTCGCTGCCTTAATAAAGATTAAAGGAAGTCAACAGATTACGGGAGTTAACGGACGAGAAAACAAGAGAGTTGGTGGGACTCCCTCAAAGTACACATAATCGGAATAATAATTTGTTTTGAAGAGCTCAATAGAAAAGAAACTCCCTGGCAGCTGTTAGATTATTCTCTGACCATCTAAGCAGTAGCACTTCACGGACTAAAAGGCCAAAAGTGAAGAAAACGTAGATCTGCTGTTAGCGGTGAGAATCTGAATTGTCCAACAAGGTAACTCCATCCCAACATAGATCTGCCGTTATACGATCAAGGTAACGCTTTGTCCGATTATTTGTTATATTCTTGTCAAAGATCAAATTCTAATGAACAATATAGAGAACTTGGCTATATAGTTAACAGTTTAGTTCAACTTGTGTATCACAGCCTGTACCTGTTCCTAAGAGTTTGTATGATAGCATTTTAATTTGGTTTAATTCAATGAAAATTAATGTTCATATGGTGAAATTGATTTTATTTGTGGTATAAGCGAAGGGCCAAGAAAAATTTATAGAAATTTGAAAACATTTGTTTTCTTTATGCTTTATAACATTATTTTGTTATTATTTCATAGAGAAATGGTTAT